AGAGAAGGAAATTATAATAGTCCAAAATGCCACAGAATATTCTACAGTAAGTAGTTTTGCTTTAAGCAGTATGTTTGAGCAACAACCATGAGAGTAAATGGTAAGTACAGATTAACCTTCCTTTTTTGGCATCAGCCTATCAGCTCCTACTGTACCTCTACCCATACTGCTTTTACAGTATGAAGCAGTTGAATAGTAACTTATACACAGACTAACCAGGAGAAAAACAATATAAAAGCATGATGAATCCAATTATCGCTAATATTTTCCCAGACTAAACACCAACAAAGCCAAACTGACTTCACAATAAGTAAAATTACTCCAGTGTAGAATCCTTCTGAAAAAGAGAAGATTTGGGCACATCTCTGCTTCCTAGTATGGCTATATTTGGAATGCCTCTAGCTGCCAGACCATTATATTTACAAAACTGTAACTTTCAATATCCTAATTTTCCTCTACATTATCTATGTGTGTGTATATATATATATATTTTTTTTTTCAATCAATAAATGTCAGCGTTTAATGGAAGGACAGCCACTGTGTCTACAGATCCAGACACAGACACTGGTGAAAAAAATCTCTGCTCAATATCTTGAGAGGCATATTTACAATGGAACTGTAATATTTTATGTTGTCATGTAGTGTTCATGCTATAACAGGGATGAATACACCAATATTACCTGATAATGTTGTAATTATACTTTGTTTTGTGCATGAACTCCATACAGTATAAAATTCCTCTCTCTCCTCTTCCCTTCTGCCTGACTAGTGGACGACCAGTGATTTTGTCTCTCTGCAGTTCCCCTTCTTCCTGTTTTCCTGCATTCTAGAAACACTGAAAGATCTTCCTCAATACGATCCATATTCCTAGCACCTTCCATTTTCCTCAGGCTATTCCAAGTAAAGAAAACATCTGATGACTCATCTATTCCATATGATTAGCCTTTCAGCAAAGCATACAGATCTTTCAACAACTGAAGACTACAACAATACTGCAGCTCTAGGTGCTAAGCTTCAAGTTGTTTACAGTTGTGCTACTCCATGCAAAGTATAGTAGATGCAAAACAAAACTATTTCAGTTCACCAGAAAGGTGGGGATTTCATCACTTAAAAAAAAAAAATGTTCCAGCTGCAATACAGTCCAAAGCTCTGTGTTTAGAAGGCTTACATCTTTCAATTATATTAGTTCTTAGGGAGTGTTCAAAGCCCAAGCTTTTGATTTTTATCTGCAGTGTTACTGTTACCTGCATTTACTTAGTCTAGAGTTTTGAGCTAGTTAGTCACAGCCCACTGCTAACAGAATGGATATAAAAAGTAATCTCAAGGAAAAATGTCATTTACTTCTCTAAGCAGAGAAAAGGTCGTATATGAAAACTAAATATGGCATTTTATTCTGTGCAGTGTAAATCAGCCAGTAGAATTCAGCCACGGCTGCAGTCCCAAACCAATGAATAGAAAAAGCACACACTGTCCACCCTTCAAGTCCCCTCCAGGACACAGGCAGCTCTTGGGTTAAGAGTTCTCACAGAGCTGAAAGGGAGTTTTGCCCATGAGATTGGAATTAATGTGCTCCCTGGCAGAATGTCTTCACAGGCTTGCATTACTTCACTCTGAGAATAAAATGCATTTGCTGAACTTAATCGGAACAAAACACATACTGATTACTCAGTTCTCTTATGTCAGAAGTTTTGAACCCCCATTTCTTAGCCAGTTGCTCTTGCTGATCCACTTGTTCCAAAAACACAATCTAAAAGAAAGAAAACATAGTTAGATACCTTAAAACTGTATCCTACATCAGCATTACTCAAAGGCAAAACTATTTATATCTTAAAACAGATTTTACACACTTACTACAAAGGTGATAGGTTAGCACTGAACTACTTCCTGAATGTTCTTCCTGATTACACAGCATGATTTTGAAATATGTGCTTATGATCCGATGAATAATCACACCCACTTTGTAACTTGTAATAATATAATTAATTCTCAAGAAATACACAGGCAGAAACTCAGACTTCACTGT